ATAAACGACGTCCAGCAGCAAGGCCTCTGATCAGGAGGTTTTGAGGAGCGTGAAACCACCTCTAAATTGCTGATGTTCCCAGGTCCACACTGACCCACGGTGGTAGCACCAGTTAGGGCCCCAGCTATGGGCAAATAGTTAACCCCCAACCCCCATACTGGCGACAAACACTATTAAAGTGTAAAAATAGGTTTTAACGTAAGCAATAAAAAAAATTTGAGGAAAAATTATTACCAGCAATACATTTTTGAAAGAAAAAAAAATTGCGAGCAATAAAATTTAGTCGTGATTAAATAACACATTGAGGTCAATATGCCGGAAACTGAACTAACCAAACCAAACCAAACCAAACCAAACCAATCTAATCTACGTACAAATAATATATATATATATATATATATATATGTAATACTAATACTATATATATAATAATACTATATATATATATATATATATATATATATATATATATATATATATATATATATACAGGTGTCCATATAGTTCATGCACTTTAAAAAAATTATAACTTTATTTGTATATGCGATAGAAATAATTTGTAAAAAAAGGATTAGGAAGAAGTAAATCTCTATTTTTTTTAAAGGTTTTATTGAAATTTTATTTAAGTTTCCACATGTCCTCCATCATTAGCAATACAAACGATAATACGATTTTGCAGTTCACGGAAAACATTTGCCAACTGATTTACAGTAATGCCTGAAATCACACTAGTTATTTTGCCTATATTTAAAACACGAACTTTATGGACACCCTGTATATATATATATATATATATATATATATATATATATATATATATAGTATGAAATGGACAAAGTCCAGTCAATAATTATTTTAAGACATTTTATGTTTATCTCTAACACGAATGTATAAACAAAAAATGTATATATATATATATATATATATATATATATATATATATATATATATATATATATATATGTGTGTGTGTGTGTGTGTGTGTGTGCATGTAGTTTTATATATAGTGCTCAATATTAAAAAGAAGAAAAATTCTAATTTCAAAGAAAAATTTACAACCGGAAGAAAAATTCTACAACTAGAAAAAGTTATGTGGAGTACAAATAAAAGACGTAAATAAAAGTACAAATCCATGGACGTTAGCATGTAAAAGAAAAACAACAAGAAAAATAAAATAAAAAAAAATTCACAAGGGCATTTCCATGCCCTTGTGAAACGGATGAAAAAAGACACGTAAAAATTGGAAAAAATTGGAAATATATATAGTGTGTGTGTGTGGTTAATATATTTGTTTTCCGACCATAGACTATGTTCCGAATCTCACCATGGCCGATTTGTCAATGTTAACTTTGGAAAGTGCCTGAAATCAATACCCATGCATTGATCCAAACGTCGTGAGTTAAATTCAAGTTTTCGGGAGATAGCACGAAGTCACAAGTCAACGTGGCCGAGGGTTTGAGTATACTGGCGTTGATCATGACAGATTATGTTTTCTCTTTCCTTTCAGCATAGTTTCAATGTTTGTTGATATTGAACAAACACGTATGTGCGCACCTGAGCAGGTTTTGTATTGTTTTGTTTTGTTTCACGGCATATTAACCTTAATGGGTCATTTAATGCCAACAAGTTTTTGTTTTTGTTTTTTTTTGTTTTTTTATTGCTGGTAATATTTATCTTTTTCAAAAATATATTGCTAGTAATGGGTTAATGATACTAATTTTTTCTCCAAAAATGTATTGCTGGTATTAAAACCTATTTTTACAAATTCATAGTGTTTTGACTCCAGTTTGGGGTTAACTATTTGCCCATAGCTGGGACCCTAACAGGTGCAACCCCCCCCCGATCAGTGTGGACCTGGGAACACCAGCAATTAACAGCTGGTTCCACGCTCCTAAAAACCTCCTGATTAGGGACCTTGCTGCTGGATGTAGTTTATCGTCATACACAGGACGCCTCATTAGGTTCTTACCTCTCTGCAGAGGTGCAGCCGGCGTATTCTGAAGCCCCAGCTGACAGGACACTCTGGGCAGGTATCTAGGACTGGAAATCGAGAGTAGTCGGTCATTATATATATATATATATATATATAGTTCAGGAAAGACGTTTGGATCACTAACACAAAAAAAGAGAATGTCTCATATCGAGAATATTTAACATCGAAGAACATAAAGAAAAAATGAATTATTTTTAATAATATGTGGAAATCTCCACCCTTTGCCTGATGATGGTCACGAGATCGGAAACTCGTGTAGCAAAATTATGGAAAATAAAGCATAATATTTTTTTTTAAAAAAATCCACATTACAACCAAAAACATTTGTGGTTTCTATCACTTTTTTATTATACACACTTTTCTCTCGTTGGAACTACTATAACCTCTTCCTTGATATATATATATGTATATATATATATATATATATATATATATATATATATATATATATATATATATATATGAATAACTTACGAACACACAAATATATGTGCATGCGCATATAAA